GGGAGGGAGGGGAGGAGGGGAGGAGCGGGAGGGAGGGGAGGAGCGGGAGGGAGGGGAGGAGGGGTTCTCGCGGGGGCGCGCGGGCGGGGCTCCGCGGAGGAGGAGCCAATCAGGCTCACGTCGGGGCCTGGAGACGGTGATCAGGCGGGCGGGGCCGGAAGCCTTCGCGAAAGGGGCGGGAACCAGGCTACGGAATGGGGCGGGGCAGGCGTGCAGCTCTCTCAGACTGGCCAATCCGAAGACGGGTGGCAAGAGCGGTATTCGCCTCTCGCTCCCTGCAGAGAGCGCTGTGTTTCGATAGGCTGCCAAAAGCGGTCTTCCGGTCGGGGGCGGGCCCTGCACCGTGGCGGGAAAGTGGCGTCGGTAGCGACGCTTCTTACTCCGAGCTCCCCGCCGGCCGCTGAGGCCGCCATGGACGCCGCCGAGGTGGAGTTTCTGGCTGAGAAAGAGCTGGTTACCATCATCCCTAATTTCAGTTTGGACAAGATTTACCTCATTGGGGTGAGGGCGGCGGGCGCTCGGGGCGGCGGGCGCTCGGGTCGGGGGGCGGCTCCTGCAGTGACACCGGGCCCTTCGCAGGGGGACCTGGGGCCGTTTAACCCCGGCCTTCCCGTGGACGTGCCGCTGTGGCTGGCCGTCAACCTGAAGCAGAGGCAGAAGTGCCGCGTGCTGCCTCCGGCCTGGATGGATGTGGGTGAGTGCGCGCAGGCGCCCGGTACCGCGGACCCGACACCCGGGGACCCAGGCACCGTGGACCCTCGACACCCGGGGACCCAGGCACCGCGGACCCCGGCACCGCGGACCCCCGACATCCAGGAACCCGGCACCGCCGACCCCGACGCCGCGTACCCCCGACATTCGGGGACCCCGGCACCGCGGACCCGATACCCGGGGACCCGGCACCACGGACCCCCGACATCCGGGGACCGCCGACCCCGACGCCGCGGACCCCCGACATTCAGGGACCCCGGCACCGCGGACCCCGACACCGCGGACCCCCGACACCCGGGGTGGCACTTGTAGGCCAGGCGAGGGCTTTGTACCCGAACCACGCCCCCTTGACAAACTGGACCTGAATCCTGCTGTTTATTCTGTCCTTTTCAGTTAAAATGGGGTCTCTGAGCTTTTCTTTGCTCTAGCTGGCCTGAACTGAGGTCTTCCTGATCTCAGCCTTCCAAACATGTTGGGACCGCGGTGCCCAGGAGGCTCTCCGGTAAAATGGGGTGGAGAGCTTTGACTTTGTCGAGTTAGCCTCGGTTTGTGATCCGCCCCTCTCCCCCACTACAGCAATGACAGCAAAAGCTTAACTTCCTGCCTTCCGGAAAGAGTTTCAAGCAGACCTGGAATCATCTAGTCAATGTTAAATTATTCCAGAAGGGCTTCTTCTTTAATGAATTTGCTGGTTGATCAAATAAGTAAATACGAAAGGTTAAAAAAAAGTCTCATCTGTAGTGATGATAAAACTTTTAACCTTTCATTTCAGAAAAGTTGGAGCAGCTGAGGGATCATGAACGAAAGGAGGAAACATTTACCCCTGTGCCCAGCCCTTACTACATGGAGCTCACCAAACTCCTGTTGAATCAGTAAGTAATTGTCAAGGCCCAGGATAGTGGGTTCTAGTCCTCTACCCCCACCCTCTCTTCCTTGGCCCTTGTTCTTTACAGTCGTAAGTAGCAGCCCCATCTCTACATCTGCAGGACTGCTGGGCTCCCCCATCCCCATTTTCCCTTTGTGTTACCTCTGCCTCCACAATACATCCCCCTTAGTTCTTCCATTCCACTCTGGAATGCACTGGGTCCCCAGCACAAGCCTTTGATGCATGCTCATAAAATGAATGAGTGGAAGCAAAAAGATGTGCATGTATGCGTGTTTTGCCAGGGAGGTATTTAGAATTTAGCTTGCAAAATGCCAGGCTTTTGAAGCTTTCTGACCATCTTTTGGCTGATAAATTCAAGAGCAGAACCAAAACTGGGACTGTACCTGTGCTTAGAAAAACTGAAATGTTAGGGCCCTGATTGGCATGGCTGAATTTAAAGGAATCTGGACATGTCACATGAACGTGCCTTGTGTTGCTAGAAGCCTGCAGTTCAGTTCTTCCTTCTATCAAACACAATGACCAGCAAGGTGCTTGTTGTGCAAGATCTGGAATTGGAAGCAGAAGGGAAGCAGGTTAAGCTGCAGTACATGCGGAGTGCTGGTCAACAGAGCCACAGGCCTGGATCTTGGGGGTCCTGGGGTATGGGAGGGTACTAAAAGGGAGGAGCTGTGAAAGGTGCAGGTGAGGGAGGGACTTGAAAGTAGAGTTGAGTGCAGAGACTGGGTAGGTTGGGGAAGGGGGTGGGGGCCAAGGGCTGGGTTGGGAGAACCTAGAGGCACAGCCTGTCCAGGGGCCTGTCCATTATTTTAGTGTTTGAAGTTCCAGGTTTTTACTGTGTGTGCACTTTCTACCAAAATCTTTGTTCTATTATTCAGTTGGGCTACAGGACCCAATTTCAACTTCGTTATGAATTTCAGTAGATAAGAACCTGGGGTTTGCTGCTGTTTAATCTGTTCAGAGCACAAGATGTAAATGTTCGGGTTTGTAGTACAGTTCACTACATACATTGCATGCCATAGATCTGCTTCCTACCAGTCTTGAGCCACTGTGGCATGCGAATGAATGTGCAGCATAAGCTGGCATGCCGAGTGAGGAGTATTTGCTTCTGCTTTATCGGGTCATTTGCCTTCCTTCAAAGGCTGGTTTAGGAGGGCTGATACTGCCATGCTAAGCTTCTACCCAGAATTGCACTGTGTGAACTTTTACACTGTGTCTACTCATGTGTGCTTGCTTGCTTCTGTGTGTAACTGCCTTTTGTTTTGGCTGTACTGTGGGACAGTCCCTCCCCTTCAGCTATGTCAGGCACAGGGTGGAATGTGGGTTGCTAGGTTCCTGTCTGGGTGGTTGTGAACCTGGGCTTCTATTGAGATGTGTTCAGTGCTGCACACTGTGGTAGAAGGCACGGCCTCTGAGCCCAGCCTGCTTGGAAGCTCCACAGCAGAGCACCCTGTACCCTGACAAGATTAATGAGACCGTTCTCTGGGGCGCACACAAGTTCTGTGGTCAGCTGGAATGTAGCATGGATCCATGGATCCTTGGCACTGGATTTAACCTGTTCAAGACTCAAATCTGAAGACAAAACTTTTTTTTTTTTTTTTTTTTTTGTGGGTCGTGGGGCTTGAACTCTGGGTCTGGGCGCTGTCCCTCAGATCTTCAGCTCTCAGTCTCCTGAGTAGCTAGGATTACAATCGTGAGCCTCCAGCCCCTGGCTGACAAAACCGTTTTTGCATCTGGAATAGTTCAAATGTTTCATCTGAATCCAGTCAGCATTTTTGAAGATATGTTTCTGCCCAGCGTTGCTTTCATTTATTTGGTGTCTTCACCCCTCCTTTAGTGCTTCAGACAACATCCCCAAAGCAGATGCCATCCGGACCCTCATCAAGGATCTGTGGGACACACGCATGGCCAAGCTCCGGGTTTCTGCTGACAGCTTTGTGCAGCAGCAGGAGGCGCATGCCAAGGTAGGCATCGCTGGCCCTTCTGCTGCTGCTGCTGCTCACCTGCTGCTGCCCAGCTCTGCCTGCCAGTTCTGATGCTGCCAGAGTGTCACACAGCAGCCTGCTTGCTCAGGCTGTTACAAACAGGAATTGCTAGCTGTGCTTTTAAGACCATTCATTGGGCTGGGTAGCAGTGACTGATAGCTAAAATCCTAGCTATTGAGGAGGCTGAGATCTGAGGATAGGGTTCAGAGACACAGGACCTGCCTTGTTCTGACTGCCCCCCTCTGGCCCCAGCTGTGCATTCTGTCTGCTCTGTCTGCAGACAAATCTGAGAGTCATCTTCAGCTAGCCAACAAAAAGCTGGACTGTAGGTATGGCTCAAATGGTTCAATGCCAGCATGAGCAAAGAAAGCTGAGCAAGAGCATAGGGCCCTAAATGTAAACCCTAGTGCAAAAACAAAACCACCACCAAAAAAACAAACAAAAAAACCCTACTCACTGGGGCTTGCCTGTAGAGGCCCTGGGGGTTCCATTCCCAGCAGCGTCCCCCACCGAGTTTATTCAGTACAATGTAACTTTGTCTCCAAAGCAAAATCTCCTTGGCTTAGTTGGTCTGCCTTTTCCTTTAGCTGGATAACCTGACCTTGATGGAGATCAACACCAGCGGGGCCTTCCTCACACAAGCGCTCAACCACATGTACAAGCTACGCACAAACCTGCTGCAGCCTGCGGAGAGTGCCCAGTCTCAGGACTTCTAGAAGCCTGGCACTTACTGCAGATTTGCTGGGTGACGTACGAGTGCACAGGACTTGGGAGAGGTACTTGTGCTTCTGGAATCCTGGAGACTTCTTCCTGTGATGCCAGGGGGCCAGCGGAGGCATCTCTGAGTGTGTGAGAACACAGAATGGTGCAGGGAATGGATGTTTAATATCAGCTTGTGGTTATTCCTCAAACAGCTCCTGAGTGCTCAGTTCCCCACGTAATTCTAGAAGCCAGCTTTTCTTTGGGGCTTCAGGGTTAAGTTCTGGATGTCATGCTATACTGAGTTCGGGAACAGGTGAAGCAGCAGTGGTGAGCCCCAGGGCCCTTGTGCAGCCTTCTTGGTCCTCATTTTGTGGGCTGCGTTTAATGTGCAGGTGCTCCCGGGGGATGGCCGGTAGAGCAGCCAGTGATGTTGGCCCGATTCGTGCTTACCTAATAAAAATGCCATCAGCTCAAACCTGGTTTATCTGATTTTGTTGAGTTTTTTCCCTGCCTAACTCCCAAGTGAAAGGAGTGAGCCTTGTAGTCCAGGTGACCCCAAAACTGCATTGACGGGGAGTCCTCTGTGCTAGAAGATGTCTGGTTCGTTTATTAAGAAATTCTCTAGTGCCAAGGGAGGCAGAAGACTGCTGGGAAGGGTGGGACTGGCACGCGATTCTTGATATATTCAAGGAAAATGCTTTCTTTCTAAGAGAAAGTTCCTTGCAATTCACTGTAGCATTTTTTAATTGTTTGGTCCCTTAGCCTCGGAGGGGAAGCGCTTAGCCCAGTGCCATCCAGCAAACTGACCATTCGATTTTAGAACCGGCCTGCTTTTAACTGTGTGTCCAAGGCTGCAGGGAGTCCTGGGAATGCGCCCAACCTCATCACTCAGACGAGGCTGGCCTCTGCCCTTGGCTCACAGGACTCAAGCACTGTTACCCCAGCCCAGGCGTCTCGGCCATAGGTGCTGGTTATTTAAACACCCACGGGCCAGGCTGCATGGCAGCCTATGTATGTTACAGTGCTGTCCAGAGCTGGTTTCAGGGGCTGGGACTTGCCTTTCTATCTCCGCCTTAATCTGAATCCTCTTCCTCTTACGGCGAACTACTGGTTACCATGGAGGCCAGGGTGCCTGCCTGTGTCTCTCAGATCTCATCTTTAGTACCTGGGCCAACTGAGTGCCAGATCAGTGTCTTCATGTTTGAGTTCTTTTGGGGAACTGGGGTATGCTCATTATGATATAAAAAAAGATCTTCCTCTTAAATGATTTAGGACGATTTTATTTTTTGGGTGTTGTCAGAAATTACAGCAATATATTCATAAATACCTAATTACTACATTCAACAAATAATATTACAATACAGTTAAACAAGTACACTTAGAACAGGTTTCATTTCACAGCATCTAAACTGCCCCCAGTGACCGAGGCACTGTTGTACTCCCTTCTGCCCATCCTAGTGCTGAACATGGGGCGCACGAGCAACATCACCGGTGGGCCGGCTTCCTCAGGTCAAGGCAGAGACTAGGAGTTCCATTAAGCACTGGGTCAAAGGTAGGGGGCAGGCTACGGCAAGGAGTGAAGTCGAAGCTTGGTTACTGAAGTATAGATTGCTGCCGAGCAGCTACAGCGTGCGCTTGACAGAGAAGCTGTCTGTGCTAGCCAGCTCCCTCTGGTGCTGGGTACCTGCGTTTCTATGCTGTCTGTGGCTCAGAGGGAAAGGGGCTGTCAGCTTTTAAACTCAGCAGTTGGGTTTTTTGTTTTGTTTTGGAGATTTGGCAGTATTGTGAGCACTTGAGGAAAATACCGTTCTGCTACAAACAAGATCTCCCATGCTTTAGCTTTTTTCTGATGAAGGTATCCTTTAAATAATCTGAATTTTCTTGGGGGTGCAATCCATTAGTGCCTAAGTGTTTTATTTCTTTACAATTAGAATATAGACTGCAATGTTGCAAATCCTATTTTGGTCACCTGTCTGAGGCAATGGCAGGAAGCATGGAATTTTGCCATGTTTAAAACAAAAGTGAACAAGAGCAGCTGGTTTTAAAGAGGATGGAGTGTGTGTCTGTCACAAGTTTAGTGACTTCCCTGTCAGGACGGATGGGGCTCTCTTCCAGGTGATGCGGAAGACACATGGCTGAGAAGGACCCAGATAGTCACAGAAATGCTGACACACGTGCACCATTGGTTCTAGAGAAAATCTGATGTACTACTAAACTTTTGTCTTTGAAATGCAACCGGAGCAAGCTGGCCAGAGCCTCAGAGGTTGTGACTGCGTTTTGTCCTTTGCTGTGAACAGACTTAGATGTTCTGTGTTCTTCTAGAATCATCTGAAGTGTTCCCCGATTATAAAAAGAATTCATTCTTGGGCAGGAAAGCCATTGCTAGGCAGCGTCTGGTGCTTGCACTTCCAAGCACCTTTCTTAACCTCGGTTTCTGCATGCTGCCTTACTTGTCTGTACTTGCGCTGATTGTCTTATTACTTCTTGAGCACAAGAGCACTTGGATGTGAACAGGCTGGGGCGCAGTGAGGAGTGTGATGGGAGTATGGGGCAGTTTTCAGTGGAGGGGTCGTGGTACTTACTGCCCCCTCAGCCTTCCCCCCAATAAGACCAACAAGGACACTTCTCAGACGCAGACAAGGCCGGGCCTTTCCTTCCACTAGGTGATTAGATTTACTTTTTCCCTTTGCTTTAGCCAAAGCCACCACGTGTCTGACGTGTGGAGTGCTCAGGTGTGGACTCTTAAGCCTTTATTTACTCCGTAAGTAGCAAGCAGGTAAGCAGAGAAGTGGAGTGACATTTTGCCCCGACTGCAGCTCTTGGTCTCTGCAGGGGAAGAGGCCCAGGTCATAGCCTTTTGCTTTTTCCAGGCCTCCTGGCGGAAGGAGGCGCTTGCTGACTGCTGGCAGTACGGGCAGCGCTTTTCTGTCTGAGTTTGCTAGTAACGGCAAGGCTCTTGGCAGACGCACAAAGTGAACTGTGTGGGGGCAGATAAGCAGCGCCGTGCCAGCTGTCAGCAAGCTGCTCAGCACAGCAAGGGCTAGGACTCAGGGCACTGCCCCCGGGAGCAGCAGCCAGTAAGTGCAGCTGCTGGTGGCCGGCAAAGGTTGGCGTGACCGCTCCCCACCCCCAGGCCAGCAAATGGCGAGGGCCTGTTCCAGTAGGAAGTGCTGTTCTGATCTGGATCCAACACTGCCTGAAGGGGCAGTACAAGGCAGCGTATTGCAGCCAGTGGTGGGAACAGGCTGCTTTCTATACCATCACTGCCAGTTCACCCCAGCCACTGCTGGCCTACTTGAGGCCACCTTACAAAGCCTGGCACTCAGTAGCTACTTGGGTTCCTACTCTGTACGCGCTCTTGGCAATGTTAGGGTTCTGCAGCAATCACGGCTGAATGGTTCTTGGAGCAGGGCATGTGCGCCGCTGTCAACTTGCACGGGATCTGCGTGTTCCCACTGCCTGCCCCTCGTGACCCAGCTGCGCGCTATCTGCTGTTACCTGGTCTGGGGTAGGGACAGGAGGAGGTAAGGAGTAATGCATGGCTTTTCTGCATCAGGTTCTGGTGCAGTTCAAAGTAAAAATGAAGTGATAGCATAGGCGCCAGTGATAAGCTCTTTTTGTGTTGCTTCTCCTTTTAATTTTTAAAAACACTTCAATATTTTAACGTCCTGACCAGCAGCAGTACAAACACTAAAAGCAAGGGTTTTTCCCCCCAAAAAAACAAAAACAAACAAAACCCCCAAAGAGGAAAAACAAAAATTCCCCCAAACCACATATTAAAAATGGCAGGCTTTTTATAACAATAATTAAAGTAATAAAAACATACAAAACTTTTTTTTAATATATATACACAGTACAAGGCTGAAGCACCTTTGACTTTTCTCTCAAAATTTATGTTTGTATGAAACCATCACCCACCCCAGTAACAACTCAGCGGGTGTGAATGTCTACATAGAGCTCTGTACATCCTCCCCCACACGTGACAAAAGGTACCTTTAGTTTGTGGGTTTATCTCAGGTGAGAGCGTTTCCAGAGACTGCTCTGTGTGCCCCTAGGACCTGTGGCTTTGAAGACAAATAGCTTTTGTTTGTAGGAAAGTGAAGCAAGGCCTTCCCTGACAGTGCACCCGGCCTGCTTTGCAGCCAGGGGGAGCCTCGCTTCCAGGCAGAACGAGGTCCCCGTGGCCTTGGGCCTGTGCGCTGGAGCTGCAGCACAGGAACAGCCAGCGGGGCGGGAGCCCCTTCCGTGCGCTGGGGGTGACGCGTGACATGGTTTTAGTGTTGGGAATGGAGCCTTCATTTTCAGATTAGAACAACAACAACAACAACAACAGAAAGACCTATGTGGGGGAAGAAGGAATAAAACCACCGTGAGAAAGGAAAACTCGAGGCCTTCTACACTGGCTGCTCGCTGGTGACAAAGACCATCTGGCCGCACTGAAGTCGCGGGGAACTTATTCCTTTGTTTTCCTGGAGCCTGGAATCCTTTGCTTCATGCATGGCACATTCTTGTTTTTTAAGCTTCAAACCTCCCAGTGAAAAATATTAAATATTCAAGGTAATAAAATAGATCATATTTCTATACTATAGGTTCCGCCTGTGCAAGGGAACTGTCACCTGGGGTGACCCTTAACGTAGCCCCGCGGCCAGTGCAGTGCAGGCAAGGCAAGGCACTTGCGTAAGTGGTCCAGTTCTGCCTGGAGGCGCTCCCTTTCCGACACTACCTTCTGCTTCTGACTCCTCAGCTCCTGGGGAAGAGAGGGAGATTCCTGTCAGTGCCAGCTGTGGCGAGCTGGGAAGGGGGACTGTCACACCGCGGCCTCCGCCCTGATGGGCCCCAAAGGGGGATGACATAGCACCGCCCCCTTCCAGGATCAGAACTGGGCAAGTTCAAGGTAATTCCCCTTAGCCAACCCTTTGAATAATGAACAGATGCCTGAGTTTCCCCAAAATTACAGAATTTTAGTCTTTTTTTTTAATTTTCATTTTTGGTCGGTCATGGGGCTTGAACTCTGGGCCTGGGCGCTGTCCCTCAGCTCTTCAGCTCAAGGCGAGCGCTCTACCACTTGAGCCACAGCGCCACTTCCGGTTTTCTGGTGGTTTATGTTTCACGGACTTTCCTGTCCAGGCTGGCTTTGAACCGCAATCCTCAGGTCTCAGCCTCCTGAGTAGTTAGGATGACAGGCGTGAGCCACCAGCACCCGGCAGAATTTTGGTCTTTTAGGAATAGATTAACCCCCAAATGTGCCTGTGCCAAGCCCAAACCCCATGTGTCCTGAGCTCCAACCCTACTCACCGCCATGCTGTGGGAGAGCTGCTCTGCGGTCAGGCTGAGGCTGTAGTGCTGGGCCTCCAGCCGCCGGCACTGGGTCTGTAACACCTGCCGCTCTAGGTTTTGTTCTGAAAAGACAAGAGGTGGCAATATCATCATGGTCTGGGCCACACATCTTCACCCCAGTGCCCCCCTCTCCAGCGT